AAAAACATAAATTAAGAATCAAGATGATTGTCAGTTAATTTAATTCGTTTTTTATCATGTCGAATTTGATCTGACTGAATTATGTTGTTTCTAATGCATATAGAAAGACTTTGATAACTTTTTCGAATAGTTGAATCAATCGTATTTATTGTAAATCATCCGATTATTCCATCGGAAGATTGATAACTTTTTGTATCCAATTGAAGTGTTGATAAATATGGACATCGTTTGATGATGATTCTCAACTAGTACAGATTTGACAATGGCATTTGCAGATGTTTTATAGAAGATGGAATGACTGAACATATAGCTTTGATAACTTTAGGATATTGTTTCTTGGAAATACAGTCGTCAAATATTAATGATGAAAGATTATTTGCTTGTTTAATAAATCCACCGATGTTAATGAAATTTTTTTTTCTTATAGTTATCAAAAGAGCTGATAGATAGTTTGATTCGAGTAAATTTAGAGTAATCAATCAATATAAAAAAGTAGTGATATAAAAAATGAGTACATATTTGATCAATTTGAAGACTAACTGTCTTTGCTTTACGAAAAATTGGATGGATTGTTGTTACAATCTGCAATTGATCAAACAAGATCTACTTTTCTTAATTATTAGAAAAATGGTTAATAATCAAATAAATTTTCAAATTTTTGTTTACGACAATATCATTAGCCAACTATGAAAGATCTAATGAGATTTGTGTCAAGCAAGTCGTGTATCTGTTGCATTAAAAACTTTAACTTTTCGAAGAAGATTTCTGATTTAAAGTAAAGAGATACTCTTTTTTTTCCTCGTGTTATCAAATAAAATGATTCAATTATTTAAACATTAGAGTTTATAAACTTATTAAATGAACAATACTATGTTAGTCAGAAACATTTTTCCATATCATTAAAGTAGAAATATTTTTAGTCTAACTTTTTGAATTTTAAATTACATGTGACCATAAAAATCTCTCTTCTAAATCTCCATTATTTATGCAAATGGAAAGAAAGGTTTCATTTAACATACTTTCTCTTGAATATGATCAGACACTGGTCCTAGTATTAATGTCGATATTGTATCGATATTATCCATTATCGATGGATCATTATCTATTGACATCTTACAGGGTAGATAAAAACATCTTTTGCGATTTTGATATATATGTGAGAACAGATTTGCATATTGGTATTGAATAAAGAGACAAGGGAGAAGAATTTTTTATATCCCATTCACAGTTGATAAACCATTTTTTGTATTCAGTTCAAAATGGCCTTTCAAACGATGATATGATTAATCTTAAATCTTCAATACATTGATGATTTGATTTTTAAACATCAAAGAAAAATTTGAACTCATCCCAATAAATTAAATTTATTTGAGTAAAATTCTTTCCATCGTTTCCCATTAACTTCAATTCCCTGATCAATCAATTTTAAATGAATAAGTTTAGATATTAGCAAAAGAAATGATTCAAGTTTATCAATTACTACATCTAGTTTTTCGATAGTCAATGAAGTTAATTGTGAAAAACGTATTGGAATAGATGATGTTAATCTTGGGCTATTGATTATATTATTTGAATTTTCCTTGAAAATCAGTGTATGAAGATGAGAAGCACATTGAATGATAATGCATAGATAATCAAAAGTAATCTCTTCAGTTAGAGTGAAATATTCGAGCTTACAATTGTGTGGCCATGAGATTTTTGATAATCTCGAATTATTAAGATATAATTCAAGTTTTTTAAGACTCGATTGTTCTATAGTTGATGAAAGCTGATTTGATGTTGTTGTTTTCCTTCTATCATCATATGTTTGAATATTAAATGAAAATTAAGTTAGCAAATTTCGATTAATACATTTTAAAATCATGTTTAATTCATATTCGTCAACATCCATAAGAGTTAGTGAATGAAGTCGAGTCAATCGTCGAAGATTAATCAATGAAATAAAGACACTTATTTGACCTAATCTTTGTTCATTGTTACCAAGTGTTAATGATAGGATATTTTTAGGATTAATTAGTTGACAAAGCATACGAAACTTAGATTTTGAAATTGATTTATAATCGAAAATCAATCAATCATAAGTGTTAACAACTGACTGGAATAATCTGGACACCGATTGAACTGAAAATAAACTAAGTTTCGGTGTCAAGATTATCAAATATATGATGAAGTAGTTCAACTGGTAACCTTTCAATTGATAACATTATATTGTTTAATTAAGAAAATTAGATTTATTCTTGAAGCTTTCGAATATACATATATTTCACAAGAATGAGAATAGTTTTCCAATTATATATGAAAGATATATTTCTTATCTTTGGTAAACTAAAAAGATAATATAAAAAGACAAACTGTTATTTTTTTGTTGGAAAGATACGAGCGAAAAAATTTGTAAATAGTCGTTTGATGCAAAGTGAGATATCGTAATTGGAGATTGAGTCCATTATTTTGATGTTCTCTTTTCAATTTTTTACCATATTCATTTGTATTGTCATTTGAGGTATATTGAAATAATGCTAGAAAACACAGTATGAAATGCGTTCTCATTCCTCAAGAACGGGAACGCTGACAATGATCGCTTCCCATCATTCAGACCTGCTTCTCTTGCTTTAAACAATCTATATACATTGATCTCAAGTCAAGGGTCTACGAAAATCCTCAAACCGCATCGGGTTGACTCGATTTCAATTTCATAAAAGTTTTTGATAAGGGATGAACAAATCGTTTTGAGGAAATGTTTATGAAGCAAGAGAGATATGGCTGGATAATAAGAAGTCCATAATAATGAAACAAAATTCAAGAATAATGCTACATAATGTTTTTTGCAACTCGAAAACAGACTATTATAGATTGACTCTCCACTATTACCACGCTCATATTCTCCTTTTTGGATTCGTATTCGAAAATAAGGTGTGATATTAGCGGTAAATAATCCTTGTAGCTATTTGATGCAAAGCAACAAAAGGCAAAATCATACAAGATTTTTTTTCTGTGAAGTACATTTTTTCCCTCGGACGGTTCATTAGACCTTATTACCTAATGCACAAGCAGCCATCGAAGTAACATGAAAAGAATAACACTAAAACTTATGTGTTTTTTTTAATTCTTGGTTGCTTACTAATACATTTTCATGTTGACCTTTCTGTGTTTTCTGCATAAAAGCAAAAAGAAATGATATAGAGTTCTTGAATGACATAATATATGGTGATCTGAATTGGCGAAGAAGAATGGAAAAAACTACTGGTACATACATAAAAGTCAGTCAACATCTTTAATCGACTTTCATCATACCAATCAGTAGCGTAGTCAGAAATTTTCAAATTCATGGATCATTTCCCAACTAAATTATTTTGAGGAGTGCACCGTCATGAGCAATTAAAAACCAATGAGGCTACAATTTTTTTTTAAAACTTATTATTGCCATCGGAAAATTCGATGTTTATTGAAAAATAGTTCATCATTTCAATTAAGTAGCAAACTTACTCGTTTTTTATATTGTTTCACAAATGTACTATTGAACATTCAAAGATTTAAATATGCTATGTCAAAAAGCATTAATATAGACGAATAGAACCATTAACAAATTCAAGTGGAATGATGAGTATTTTGACAAAAGAAAATACCATTGAATTATCATCATCATGATCATCGGCTTAATGAAAAATGTAGTTGATCTTTCTGGATCACTTGATTAGATCATAAGAAAATACAACGTATTAAAATGGAGCCACTTCAGTCTTTGTACAGGGTGAATAAAAATGTTTTCCACGGGGTTAACGCAGTGATCTCAAATAACATCAACAACACATTTTATACTAAATTAAAGTGCATCGAAAATAGGATTTATCAATATTAAATAGTACGAATTACGGCAAATTTTCAGCATCGAATTCAGGAAATGCTTAAAATTTTACGCCATATTAGCAGAAAATAATTCTTTACATGAAGTAGTTCAAACTACTTAGATCTTACATAAAATGATGAATATCAAAAGGTAATATTTATTTTTTCAAAGATTTGATGAATATAATCAATATGACGACCGTTAACTTTTTTCACAGCAGGAAGATGAAACAGACATGAACATAAAATAATTTGAAATAGATTAGTGTTTGTTTCCATGGTTGCCAAAACATATGAAATATGATTTTTTTTAGATTTTCGCAACTAATGCACGTATTTCTTAAAAAAAAATTAAATTCTCAGTTGAACTTTCAAATTTACATTTTCAATATGATCTACTCTTAATCCATCATCAACATTACATCGACATTTCATGAAAGGAATGTTAAACACCAATCAACCATCTCCCTTTATATTGTGCTACAGATCTGCAATTCAAAATATATAGGGGTTATCAGGGATACTTGGTACCAGGATGAGAGTCAGGGACAGCAACGAGGTTTGACAGATGAAATTGTTAAACATTTTCTTAAAAATATATCTGAAAATTGTACTGCGAAATTGTTAAGTGGTATCAAAAGTTCTATTTATCTTTCACTTTAGACAGCGTCATTTTTTGTCGACTGACGTTAAAAATATCATCGCATATCTTCTCCTATCTATCGTTTAGTTTAACTATAATGTTATCTTTTTTGTCATATTCTTAGTGCTTTTGTATATTACACTCCAGTATTACATGCATATCGATGTATCAAATATGTAAGATGTGGGTAGTCAAGCATTTTCCGAGGTTTTCTTTACATACATTAATATGTCTATAGTTACATTTCATATGAAAAAGTACTTTGTAGTAATACATACAGAGTTGTGTTCTAATATCCAAGTTTTATTAAGATAATATTGTCTAAACAAATATCATTTGTTCAGAATAATTTGTACTGAATCTTGATTATTATCATCACTTATATCGTAGCTTCCATAAAATTTTTTATACGAAGCAACAGACAAAGAAATTTCATGAACTCATATCAAGAATAATATCTCGGCGAAAGCTAAACCTATTCTGACTTTAGATAGATTACACAAACATCACAACAATGATGAATAATTTTCTCATTGCTATTTTTTTATGTCTATTTATTTGTTCGATTAAATCAGAGTGGTTGGCAATCGATGATTCTTTAATTACTACGTGGAATGAAACAAATGCAGATCGCTCACGCACATTGACAACATTTCAAGTGACCAATTATCCTCCGAAGTATATTAAACCGTTAAGAAATCGTATTGACACTTACACATATGATCGAGTGAATAATAATGTCTACTTCATTATGGAACAAAACTTGTATGGTATATCAAAATTTTTTAAATATAATTCAAAATCGAATCAGGTTTATCAAACCGAGCAAGTTCAACACTTTATGATCGATCAAATCCAGTATAATGATGTCAGTAATAAATTATATGCGACTATACAGAACAACAGTAATTCACAGTTTTTGGTAGAAATTAATATAAAAACGCTGGAAGTTAAAAGACAAATAATTCCTCTCGTTAATATTGGTTTTCCAATGCCTGGAAGTTATTTTGATTCCGAGACACAATTGTTTACTTATCATGCATATAATCCTAAGCAAGATCATACAGTACTTAATACTTTGAATTTATCGAATAATGCAAGTAAAATTATAGTTGAATCAAAAAAATTTGATTTTAATGTCTACGGTTTTGGTTATATTAAATCATACGGTTTAGTTGCATTGTGGCAGTATAGTATAATAACGCCGATGGTCTGTATCAAATTAAACGAACGAAGTGGAAAACAAATACGAAATGTCACAATAACACCTGATGGTATTAGAATTGCTGAAGGCTATAAACCATTTTCTATGGATTTTGAGAATAGACTGTTTTACGTTTTATCATTGACTGATGATTTATCGACAACGTATATTTCAAAAATTAACATTGATACACTGCAGTTGAAACTAACCACAATTCAAGGACAAAAAATAAAAGATTATATATTTTTAAAGAAAATCTAATCAAATAAAACTACAACTGCTTATATACGCACACTTCTTTTTCACTGAAATTGTGCATTGCTTTTTATTTCAAAACAAAAACGATCAGGGCAAGTGGAACAATTTTGAAATGCAAACAGTTTATGACTTGCGTCTGTCGTAAGAATTTGGTCGCGACTCTGTCGATTTTCTGAAAGACCTCTGAAAAATCACTCATACATGACAGAAAGCAACAGTGAATTTCCAATTGAAATGGAGTCTTTTTATAAGGGTGTACTTATGGGTGAGAGTGAGTTTGGATGAAAATAAGATCTACACCCACACCGGTACTTTCTACTACTTCATGCTATGCTGTCACACGCTAGGCTCAGACAATTGTTTGACATGGTATCTCATTACATTCTGAATATTTCTTTCGTTTACATCTCAAGTCGATTGTAACATTAGTGTCCTTGGTAAAACAAAGGATTTTATTATGACTGTGTTCTTTTGTTTGTCTGAATTACAAATTCCATTATGCATGCGCAGTGCATGAAAAAAAAGAAATATTCTCTCGTTCGCTAGATTTTCTCTAAGTGTGAGTTGGTGAGAATACAAAATCGCAAAGTCGACTCTTTTGGGGTATCGATTTGAAGAGAAGAGTCACACCACACTCTCTGGAAGTTTCTTGAAGTTGTGAGATCCGCTGTCTCCTTCTCGTTATAATTGAATCTGCCTCGCACAATCCTTGATTTTTTTTTCTCTTTCATCCCTTTCTGCGTATAATATTTTTCTCTTCTGCATCGGTGAAGAATGCGACTGCTTGGCAACCATTTCTATAAATATGTAGAACATATATGTCAACTATTCCAAATAGAGACGTTGTCACAATGCATAATGATTAACAAGTGTAAACTATCTTAGCTCGACATTGAATAATGATAACGATCCTAAAGTATAAACCATAGTTTGTCTTCAACCATTATCTCAACGTCCGAACATTCGAGAATATGATTCAATATATTAGATTAAATAAGTAATGCAAGGCGACTTGCATGCACACTTTTTTTTCTTTTGTTCGTTCTTCTTCTTTTTCATTCTCCTTCTGTCAAAAAAACTCGCGCAATTCACCGTTGCGACGCAAAACATCATCTAGAAAAAGCATTGTGAATCCTTGAGAAGCTATTTATTTGTTCTCTTCTATAACGATAGCGTGTTTTTTGTGCTATAAAAAGCCATCATTCAAACTCAAATAGCTACTTTATTCAAAATAAATTGTAAGCAATACAATGTCATCATCAACCTCTACCCATGATAAATCATCTGATAAGACTCATTCGGACAATGCGCATAATCAGGATAAGCATTTGACCAAAAATAATGAAACAATCAGCGATACACATCGAACAACAGAAGCTCACAAAAACATCAATACACGTCGCAAGTCTGATGCAGAAAAACATGCTCATGCTGATTTACATGTGAAAATTGCTGATTCAGGTACAGCTTCTTCATTAGATAGCAAATTCGGACGATGAGACTCCGTCTTGCACATCTGCTCCTTGAAAAATGATCCTGATTGAATGCAGATTCTGTATTCTCATTTATTGTTTCTTCGAAAGAGATAACTAAAAGAATTCTTTCACAAAATTCACCTATTCAGATGAGTGCAACGATTATTTGGATTCTTTTAGCCTTATATTTCTATTATTAGTACCATGTCTTCATATGAGATTTGCATTAGAACTTCATCAGAGATTGTATAAAAAAAATTTTTTTCCAATAATTATTGTTAAAATGCTGCGTTTAGAATAATTCATATCTCAATCAAATTTGAGTAAACTAGAGTATTATTTGAGGATGGTGCTGATCTACTTGTAGTAGCTCTCTAACAGCAAGCAAAATATGAACTCAATAGCTTTTTATCTTTTGCAAACATTGAAAATTGTATTTCCAGACAAATCTTAGAATCCTATAGGGTAACTCAAGCATAATAAGCCATTTCTTCTTTATAGCAACTGTTGCTGGCCATACACACGAGCCAGCCAAATCCTCTGAACCCACAGCTGCAACAAGTACTCATTCTCATCCTAAAGCACAAACACATTCGGATCCGCATAGCCATAAGGACACACCTGCTAAAGCTGCTACTCGAAGCCCCCGTCGTAAATCTGATGCTCATGAATCACAACAGGATACCCATGGTCAATCGAACATACATGAGAAAGCTGGCACACGTAGTCCACGTCGCAATTCCAATGCTCATGAATCAAAAAATGATACACACGACCATGCGAACACAAAAGAAAAAGCTGCTCCACATAGCCCACGACGCAATTCCAATGCTCATGAATCACATAAGGATAGTCATGGTCACTCGACCACACATGGAAAAACAACAACACATGGTCATGTAGTCACACATGAGAAAGTGGCCACACATCATAAATCAGATGCTCACCAACCAGAAAAGGATACACACGATGCAGTTAAGCCCGCAAAAGTCGAATCCGTTGAAACTGAACCGCATAATGCCGAACAGACAGGTATGTTTAAATCAATTCCCAATAAAGTATTCTTGTTTTCCATGGCAAAAAAATTGAACATTAGCATTTGACCGATTCACACTAGCCTCATTCTAAACCAACACTCTAATTTGTTCCTACTTTTATGAGATGTTTATTGTTAGGTCTCTTTATCTGGCAAATTTGAGAGTATTAATCATTCAGCTTGGCAAGATAACATTTAAAACAGGTTTTCAATGAGGAATAGATGCTCAGAACAAGAAAATGGTTCTCTAAGTCTCTGCTTGGATTTGGATTTTATTTTAATTGTTGTAAATTTATTTCTCATAGAAACTAGCGATGCGGTTGCTACTGTTACATTGGAAAACAACGTCGATAAACTTTCTGACAAAACCGATCAGAGCCAATCATAGAACGGTTTTCCGACAGTACTTCTCTAAACTGGATTTTCTTTTAAAATTTATGTATTTTCACACATTTTCTTTTTTCATTGTGTGTTTGTATTTGCACTCGGCGTCAACGAAATACATTGTACATTGATTGTGATATGTAGTTTATATATTGATGCATCGTTACATCCTCGTCTGTGCGATTCAACATTTCGGCTACTGCACAATTAAAGTGTGGGTGTGGGTGAGAGGGGAGGGGTGTAGATGAGTGTGGGTGTGACTGCAGGTGTGGATATGAGTGTCGTTCTTTTTTTCAACCTCATCCCCTCCACTCTCTCACCCTCAATCTTATCTATATCAGAATAAGTAATCTGTCTAAGGAAAAGAGAAAAAAAACCAACGGATGTTTTCACTTTATTGGAAAGAAGCGTTTTCCAACTCATGTATCTAAGTTGAGTGACGATGAAAAGAAGTTCTTTTTTTTGTTTTTGTGACTAATTGAAAGTTCTAAAAAAGTGTATGAGAGCCATCTCGATTCAATACATTGCTATTCCAAACGGAGAGTTTTTATGAGTGAAATCAAAATTGTATAAGAGTAACTAACAGGTTGAGCAAGTACTTCAACGTAGACCCTCAACATATACGATTTTTATGCTAAAATATACTTTCTATATTATCCATATAAATTGCGCATGCAAATCACAGAATGATTGATTCAATGGTGAAATCATTCGAATTGATAAGGTCGACGAATATATTCTCTTAAGTTCCAGTTTATTTCTTTTTTGTCGCTGTCAACATTCTGTCAATAATTGATTTTTACATATACTGATGTTAACCCATTAATGACATTCTACGCTTAACATTTCAATGATGGACGAATTTTTTTGTAAAAAAAAGATTGCTGTACGGTCGATCGCTAGTTTCTGATATGGGGTGAAAATTTCAATTTTCACCTAATGAAATTATAATATCAGTGCGACAACTATGGAGATATTTTTACTGACTTGAGAATACTCCAGTGTATGGGTTCACAAATATTTTCGATCTTCATTCGTTCGTTTCTTCCCTCAATATTGTCTACTGACAAATCGAGATGAATCATCGGTTCAATATCAAAAGTAGAACACATTTAAGCACTTAGTGGCGCTAATTTCTTATTATCCGGGAACATTTTTTTCAAGAGGTGATCTTTACATCATATTGTAGCGTAGAGAAAAAGAGTTCCTTCAATGGGGTCAGATTTTTCGACCCAATTTGTTTTTCAGAGAAAATCACTAATTAAGTCGGCTAATGGCGTGCAATGGAACACCGCAATCAATGAAAGCAGTCATAATGGCACTATCGTTTTCGGAATATACAGTAGTGGAAAGTAAAACAAAGTTATCATGCCATCATACATAGTACATTGTCTTCTATGTGGTCGACGGGAAAGAGACACACGCTCAAAATATACAATAATAGGAACTGTTGAAGGACAACAAAAAAATTACGATGGTTATGAAAAACTACGAACCAGCCCGGATGCAATGACTTTTGTAAGAGTCATCTTTGTATTCCGTATCATATTTTCTCTTTTCGATTTCTATTTTAGAAAACACCTTTTCCACCAGTGTTCCTAACAGCAAGGGTCCATCATGATGACAAAGTATTCAAGAACCTTGTCATGTTTGATTGACACTATTTTACACTTTGATCATAAAAACAAATTGTCAAGCAGACACTTAGAATAATTTACACATTGCTTTTCATCGTATGCACAACGCTTATAACTTCTAAATTTTGTGATTAATAGTAATGTATTCGATATCCTGACATCTATCAGTTAACCTTTGGATTTATTGGAACGTTTCTGTCTTTCAAAACTTGTTACTCTTTCATATTTGACACAACTCTTTAGGTAACCTATGTGAATGCTTCGTACGAGTTTACTTTAGACAGTGTCCCTTAACCCACACACAGTGCTCTGCATACAAAATAGATCTTCCATGTTTAAAGTAAAGTAATGTCCATTTTTATTTTATCTCTCTTTTACCTCGTTTATGAAATATTAGTTAAAAGAATTGATCATCGGATGCTACTGAATAGTAAAAGTTATATATCTTCCATTTGACCTTATGTACGTAAGTACCACGAGTAGTGTCTCGATGAGGGGTAGTACTTACACTCTAAATTTAAAATAAAATAAAAATAAGAGCACTTTAAACTTTAACTTTCAAAAAGTTAAAGTTAAATTAAATTCCTTCACAAGTATTTTTTGTAAAAAGAATTATTTTTTTCATAAAAAAAAATGAAATATACGTGAAAAAGGTGATGTTTGTTTTGTGAAAAAATTATTTTTTCAAGAAATAATGTTTTTAATGAAAGAAGTACCATTTTTTTGCAAAACAAATCTTGTGGAAAAATCAAATTCAATTCTAAAGCTTAAAGAAATTTGCTTTAACTGAACGTACTGTATCAAAGTAGTTTTAAAGTTAAAGTGAGACCGTAGTCTGAATGTCTACAAGGTATAAGAGAAGGGGCGCGAGATCGATGACGCAGGAAATCGATTGGAAGATATTTCAAGATTCGATCGAATCTCGTAGATTCCAGCGATGTTTTTCAAAGTAATGAGAAAAAAAACTGAATGAAACACTGAAAATTTGCTCGTCAAAAATGCAAATTTCGCACATTTGGGATGTGAGACTTTGCCTCAGTAGGAAAGCTCTGATAAATTGATATGAAATATTTCTGTTTTTTAATCTAACTCTAACAATGAACATCTGGGAAACTTTGTTTAAAAGAATAGAATGTCATTTTACACTTTGATCGCAAAAATAAAATGTTTTTTGACTTTTTATTTTAGATTTTTATTAGAAACACTGTTTTTCCCCATCTAAATACAGAGTACGACCAGCAACACATTTTGGCAAAACTTACGGATCAAAAATGAAGCATAGTCAAGAGAAGAAATAATTTTTTTGTATCTTTTTTTCTGTAATGATATCAATGTATTTATTTTTGTTTTTTTTTGTTAATTAAAAAAAAGATTACTTCAAATAAATTTATAGATTAAAATCATTGTTACAATCCAAAAGTAATTCGAGATGTATAAATTAAATTGCCAATCAAAACGGTTTGAATTTAACAGGAGAAATCGTCGAATGATTTATTCTTATACGAAGCTGTCATCTTGTATCCCTATGATTCATGCTGAAGCCATTACAGCCGATCTGTGTTTTGATTGGTCAGATTACTCCGGTTATGTCTCGGAAGGAACACTTCTGGGAAAAACTAAAAACACAGATCGATAGAAAAAAGTTTTTCTCTACCGACAGGTATTTTTCAAAATTTCGGCCTTATTAATTTTTTAAGAAGTCGCCACCCGTAATGCATTTGATATTGATTCGCTTAACTGATGACGCTTTCCTTTCTCTGCCTACGTACTAAATATACAGTTGTGCTAAAAATAACATAATCATGACACATGTTACGTAAAAATAAGACAAGTAGTCTTTTCCGTCTTAAAACTTGTTTTAACATTAACGTATGTTTCTAACTAATATTTGTTTCAGATGGTTAATCCTTCTACTTTTGAGACCTTGCCTGATGAAATTATGTTAGTTGTATGTCAGTACCTTCGTGGGGCTGATGTTCTCTATTCTTTTTTCAATATTAATACTCGTTTAAATACAACAATAACTGGTTATTGTCGTTATGTAAATTTAATGACCGTTCCATACCAACAATTTAATTATGTTGTCACTGATGTTTTACCCTGCATAGGTAATCGTGTTCAATCTTTTATACTAAATTTTTACTGGGAAAAAATGATCCCTGCTCAATTATCCACTGACCTTTTTACTTCACGTTTATTTTGTCTATGCCCTCAACTTCAAAAGCTCACACTTCAATCTTGTCACAGTGAAAACTTGCTGTTGTTCATAGCTAGTCTAGACAATTTTTTGCAACTAACCTATTTGGATATTCGACATCTATATGGTTGCAATACTGATGTCTTATTGCCGAAACTTTTATCAGCCAATAATGGTCGACTATCTACAGTGATTTTCGATCGAGATTCAATTTCTTTAAATGTATCTGAAGATGCTACAGCGATATCTTACCCAAATATTGAAGAACTTACAGTAAATATAAGTGTAGCTAATGTATTGCCACGTCTTTTCAAGCTTGTACCCAATGTTCGCCGTTTGTGCATCAATATCGAAGAATGGTCTAATAATTCAACGTTCGAACACGACTTTCTCGATTTGTTACGTCTTACTCATCTAATCTGTTTTCAGTTATATTCCATAAATTGGTATTGGACATTTGATGAAATCACTAATCTATTAGAGAAAATACCTTCTTTACAAAAGGTTGAGCTTAGTTTCTGTACGGATGACAAACGTTTTCTTACTGAAGAGAATTTGATCATGATTTCATCTACGTCATCTATTCAAATTGATTACTTTATTCATTATCCGTCTTTTACATTGGACGACGATGCAGAACATTTCGTTACTTCACAATCGGTTCGTCCTTCAACTGCTTGTTTGTTAGATGATATACACAATCGTCTTGTCATTCATAGCAGTCCTTGCCGTCTACTTTCTATAGCTTTACCTGCATCAATGGCAAAGCAATTGTCATCTCGATCAAAGTTTACAAAAGTTGAAGATTTATATATCTACTATGTTTCATCTTTACTTGAGGTACTTTTA